AGACGCTCTGCTGTTGGACGCGTACCCTTTTATGTAATCAATCTCTAATTGGTGGAGGAGTTTAAGCGAAACGCTAGTCCAACAGGGGTGCGTCTAATTAATGAGATAACAACACAGCCCCTGGGAATTACCGGTGACTAAGAACCCCGCAATCAAGCGACGTTGCCTTACGTACACGCCGAGCCTGATACAAAGGTTGCTTTTTGCATCAAGTAAACCACAAAACAATGACATTGGTAGCAGTTTTTAAGAGTAGAAATTTTTCGATATGGAAATGTTATCACACTTCGTATCGCCACGATTTTCGAGGTGGTACGCGATGTGGTCAATAAGCAAGGTGGAAAAGTCAGACTTTCGTCCCACACAGATCTATGCCTATTGGGGTAAAGATGAGTAGTAAGTGTACAGAGAGCACAGCCGCGCAGTTCGCGCGGGCCATCATAGTTTGTTACATCACAGCCATACAAATCGCTTTCAACATCTTTCTGCGGTCATCATCTGGTCAATCGAGGTATACAGACCTTGGGCAGCTTTAAATTACCAAATGGTTATTATAGCACATGAGGGCTTATGCAACTCCTTCAAAATGACTGCAATCAGGATCTTCGTCCTCCATCGTTACCCGGTGGAAGAATGACGGTAGTCACGCATATGCTGCGCGCTCTTTAGGACTGCAGCAACTTATGTGCCACCTGATGTTTGGCCACAAATCACGATGCGACTTGGAGACCCCATGCGAGACCTTCAACAATCACAGCTGTTTGAGGCTGTATTCTCTGCCAATATCTCTATGAAGAGCCTACTGTCCACTCTTTCGGGCGAGGTACATGTGATGTCCATCTTGAAGTGACTTGCCATTTATCGTGTATAGGTCAAGTCGACTTGAGTACCACCGTACATCGATTTGAGATTTTAACTGAGCGTGAGAATAGACAAAACTGTTATATTTGCACGATGATTATGAACGACAGCTAAAAATCCAAGCTTCCAGATGCCTTTCAGAAAGATCCATGCACAACGTGATTCCAGGTCATGTTGAAATTTAATGCATACATGGCTTAGCAAGTCTCCTGCCACTCACGTATGCTGTCAACAAGAACACGCAAGTCCGATCACAAAGATATTCCCCAAATCGGATCTATTAAGATTGTTACATGGGTCAACCGGTTAAGGAGACATGTTTTGTGCAACACTGAAACATTGCTGGACAAACGTTTAGAAAACCTTTGGGCTTAGCAAGTCTAGTTGCTCTCGTCTTCTCTTCGCTTGAATTTTGTTTGCCGGATTGGCAATGAAATGCTGCTCGTACTGGATCACAGGTAGTCGACTTGTTCCTGGCTCATAGCGGAGATCGTACTTCAGAATATAGAAGGCTATCAAGACCTTCAGCTGATCCGAGACGAAGAATCGGCCTATTTATAATCAATTAGAACAAAAAACGTGCCAAAAAAGGAATTGTGGGGCTGTGAGTCCTGCATGTACGTACCTGGACATGCATGTTGACCATGGCCGAACTGGAGGTGCTCCGCCGACGTAGTGACGAAATGGAGCCCGCCTTCTTTGCCGGTTTGTTCACGTTGGTGATGGAATCTGTAAACATCGAAAATCTCGGGATCAGAGAATGTGCTTGCGCCTCTGGTGTGGTCGTCGGAGATTAAGATGAGACCTCCAGCGGGGAGAGTGGTTCCGTCAGAGAGAGTGATGGCTTTGGAGACATAGCGTGTCATGGGCGCTATCGAGAACATTCAGTAAAGAACTTTTTGTATGCTCTATCGCATAGATTCCGTATACATACCCGAAGCTAATGGGTGAACACGTAGCACTTCTCGGAGAAACGAATCCATTAGTCTGAGCTTCTGCAGCGCCGACCTCGTCCACCCATGTTCCGTCAACACCTCAACGAGCTCACTGCGCAATGGCTGTAGAATTTCCGGCGTGTCGCAAATTTGCAGTAAGCAACGAGTTATTACCTCAGTTGTGGTGTTCATCGCAGCGAGACTGAGCAAAAGCTGGCCGCCCGTGAAATCCAATGGTCTACCTTTGGCTACGTCGAGCATCCAGGCAAAGCAATTGCTAGCAGCATTCTCTCTTGACTTCTCCACCTTATTAACTCCCTCTTTCCGTTGGTTTATAATCTTTTGAGCTTCTGGCTCCAAGAGTTTTCGAGCATCCTGAACCTGCTTTCGCAATTGTCGACAAGGCGGAAGAATCTGATACATGAACGTCCGAATGAAGGGCGGGAAAAAGTTAAGCACAACGCCATTTCCAAATATCCGTATCGTATACTCTTTCGATATGGCAAGCCAGTTATCGTCTCTAGCAAGTTTTTCTCCAACAAAAACATGTCCCGACACGCGAGCGGTGATATCTATCGAAATATCCTTCACGTTGAAGCTCTCCCAGTCGCTTTTCTCCCCCAGCGTGTGTTCGACCGCACGCGAAGTCTCGTGCACAAGGCGTTCGGTCAAAAGCCCCAAACTCGGCGTGAGTTTGGCATTGATGACATCCAGCATCAACCTATCATCTCTCAGCCCCTCTCGCATGCCTTCAAAGCCCGCATACTGCGTGGGGAATTCTTTCTTCTGGCCCTTGGAGAGGCTGAGGGCAGGGTGGTTACGCAGTTCGTGAGAAAAACGATTAGGTACGACAATTTTGAAGCCTGCTCCGGAATAAACTTGAAAGCAGCCTGTCGTCATGCGCCGCCCTTCCTGCATGAGAGAGTTACCGTAGCGCAGAAATTCGGGGGGCTTCAGCTGTCGTGGAAGACATTTCCACAGACCTTTTTCGAGCGAGGCAATGGGTATATCTGGGAATGGTTGCTGTCCAGATTTGGATAAGACGTAATATAGGATGATAATAGCAATAGCAATGCCAATGGCTGGGGTGAGTTGTAGCTCATAGGCGACGTGGAATGATTCTAATGCCATTATTTTCGGGGATTCGGATTTAACAAGCAATGGCTTCTCAACAGTAGGAAGCTGTAAGGTAATTTTAATGCAGTAACTATGCGTGATTTCTGGGGCATCGTGTTCCGCCGTTCCAAGTCCATAGTATCAATTCATTTATGAAGGGTGAGCTCACGACGGACTAATGCAAGAGCTAAAATTAGCAATGCTACCGGTGAACCGTTATTTCCATCTCTGGATAAGTACCGTAGAACTACCGTACTCAAATGACACTGTCGGATTTTCAACTACCCAATGTCTGGAGTCGTGAAATCTTTTTCCGATAATCAGAGTACCCTGGCTAGTAAGGATCTTAATTAATATAATGCAGGGAGGAAGTAGAATAACACCTTCGGAGTCCGTAATCTTCGTGCTAGTGTCATAGTGTGGAACTAGATCAACAACTTCGGAGTCCGTAGTTGAAGTGTTAGCGTCACGATGTGGTTGTCCGTCTCTCATAACCGGCCCGAAACGTACTACACAGTTGTTACTACAGCGAAATTCTTCATTTCTTCCAATATCTATTCCTACGTAGAACACTTCACATGTAATGCTGCTATGATTGCCATTAAGGTTGCAAGGCCATTCCTTTTACAAGGCCTTCAATCTTTCTACCGCTTTTCAACTGCCCTACCTTCAACGAGCGCAAGTTACGCAACTACAACAATCAATAGACCCTGGAAATCAAATAGCGAGTTTTCCGCCCGAGTACCAACAGACCAAGTCATTCCATTCCATGTGCTGGACGATGGGTATGTCAACCGCAATGTCGTCATGGAGGCTAGTTATCGTTTTGACGATGTGCTCGACGTCGATCGACTCCGATTGGCCTTGCACCGTCTGATGCAGCGAGACGGTTGGAAAAAGCTCGGCGCCAGGATCCGCCAGAATGCAAGTTCTCAAAGCGGCGTTCCTTCTATTCCATTGCATTTTGTTGATCGTATCTAGAAACAAAAGAGGCTTGAATACATTCTCCCTCGTGAATATGACGACAAACGACCGCCTTTTCTGTGGTCGCATGAAAAGTTCAAGCAGAACATAGCTGAACATCCCAAAGCTTCACAGCTTCCGAGAGCAAGTCAGACGCCAAAGATTCATGAGAATCCGCATCTTATGCAGTCATTTTTGCACCATCCAGGCCGTCCGAGAAAGCTTGCAGATTGGCTTAAGAGCGATAGTCCTCCATTGTCGTTCAAAGTACGTTTCTGCTTGGTGTCACATCGTTCATTTCATGCTTGCATTGATTCTGAACACTTTATTTTCTAGACTTTATCTTTCCAAGATGCCACTATCCTTTCTGTCAGCTGGCCTCATTGTGTATTTGATGGTATAGGAAGAGCGGCATTCATGAACGCATGGCTTGCTGAGCTGAACGGCCTCGCAATTCCAGAGTTCATCGGCTTTGATCATGATCCTATGAGTCCACTGATCGGAGAAGTTCCTGGAGAACGATACCTTCTGAGACATCAACTGCTGACTGGCTCGCGACTTCTTTTCTTCGTGCTCAGGACGATATTTGACCTCATACTGCAGCCAAAATCTGAGCCTCGAATCCTTCAGATCCCAGATCGATTCTTGCAGAAACTGAGGCAAGAAGCTCTTACGGACTTGAATAAGGGGTACACCGGAGAAGATGCTATATTCGTGAGTAATGGGGATGTTCTGTTAGCCTGGTGGGCACGCACAGTACTGTCCTCACAGAACTTGGCTGTTTCTCGCCCTGTCGCAATCGGGACCGCACTGAACCTAAGAAAAGCTCTGAAAAAGGATCTTCCAAGTGGCACTTTTATAGGAAATGCTGTTAGTACTGTTTTCGCGTTCCTGACAGCCCATGAACTCGCGACAATACCGTTGGGCAGCATTGCGCTTCGAATTCGGCGAGCTATCGAACAGCAGCGTACCACTGAGCAAGTAAAAGCACAGTTGACTTTGATGGAATTCTATGGCCGCCAGCCGCTTGCAGGGCCGTGGAACATGTTGCCGCTTGTTCTTTCTCAGTCGTGAGTTTTAATCAACCGCAACTTCGTTTTAATCATAACTAAGATTAGGCGTTGCAGGAATAGTCTTGGTTTTTTCGATCTCGACTTTTCGTGTGCTGTTGTTCGGCAAGGGCTTCCTGATAATAGAAGGAGAAATGAGGTAGGAAGACCATCGTATATTCACTTGACTCATCAGTTGAACGGTGTAGTAAGTTGATCAACCAGAATATGTTACTTTTCGGTGCTGATTATCCGTAATAGCCTGGAAGAAATGCAGGAAGTGTCTTGGGCAAAGATGCAGCCGGAAACTGGTGGATTTATTTCGACCTTCCTGTTACAGCTTGGAAGGGCGTGTACAAGAAGCTAAAAGCACTAGACAGCTAGGCTACGAGAACAGTGTTAATCTAAGCACCCCTTCAAGCCCAAAGTGACGCTCTGCACAATCGAGCCCCAATGACGTAATACAGATTTTGAAACTAGATTTCACTAAGAGATATAATATGTTAGTCAACCTTCAACCTCGCGTCCCCTCGCTAAGAAGAGAAGTCTTCTTGCTACTTGAAATGGTTTCTTAGACTACTGCTTTGAGTCAGCTCGCTCCAAACTGGGCTGACCTAAGAAAAGAAGCTCCACCCTATGTAACATTCGAAAGCATCCGTTTCCATATATTTCAAATCACTACATGCAAACAAATCTCACAAGACTACGTCTGATCAGCGTGAGAAGGAATCTTTAAGTGATCGTAAAGGCACAAAATGTAGAGTGATTTCCTTATCCGCGATGTCTGGAATTGTTCGCCGAGTCAAGATTTGCAACTTCAAGCATGAAGAGAAAAGCTGCCATTTCAAGCCCAGTACGAAAGATTTGTTAGGATGTTGTCCCAACCACCTATTCCAGATACTATACACAGTTGCGATAAAGAAAATAAGAGTATTTGCGGCTATCTTGCTTTTTCGGATTTAGTGAACAGCTTATATACTCCCAGCGAATGTTGACCCCAAGATCGTCCCGTCATCGCTGCGATTTCTTACTAACTAATCAAGATTCTCAGCTTCTGCAAGCAAGGAGGAATTCACAAATCGCTGGGGAATAATCTCTATCAATTATCATGGAATCAGGTTGCCCAGCTAGCCTGCACCGGCGCCATCTTTACCATGAAAGGAGGCTTCTCCCAGACCATATAGACCTTTTGGTCTGACCAGTTCGCCTCGAAGCATACTTCAAAGTCGAAATGCCACACCAATCGCGCAATCACCAATTTCAGCTCAGCATATGCCAAGTTCCGCCCGAGACCTGTAACAGTCATATTTAGTACTTGTTCATCGATCAATAGAAGGAGAGTCGATTTTGAACAAGGCAACTTACAATCCCGGGGTCCAAGTGAAAATACTCGCGCGGCTTCCCTGAGATCGTGATTATAGAGCGGATCTTCTCCCGTCCATCTCTCGGGAATAAAGCTCTCCGCATCGTAGAAGTTGAGGGCACTTCTGCACGCCGCGTAAATAGGGATTCCGACTGCTACATTCCCTGGTACCTGAAACCCATCGATTACTGCGCCAGTATCATTTGTGTATCGAGGATGTGTGGCGGGAGAAGGCGCTTGAATCCTCATAGTCTCTTCGATACAGCCTAGTAGGTATTTGCACTCATTGACGCTAGACATAGTTATATCTGCTGCACATGTGAATTTAGTGCGGATTTCTGTCGTAAGCTTCTCCAGAGTCCCTGGGTTTGTTAGAAGCCGGAAGACCGCATGTGTGAGAACTGTCGCTAGTGTTTCACTTCCTGCTGCCATGAGGAAAGAAGCGTTAGAGTCGAGTTGGTACATGGTCATTCTGCCATCTTTATACTCTTCAATTAGCTTTTCCATAAAATCAGGGACCATTGGTCGTGAGTTTAGGCGGTAATCGACCTTTTCCTATGATGAGAATGTGGGTATTAGCGATACAACTTCTTTTGCAAATATTTGAAAATCTCTACCTTGCTAATTGCTTGAATGGTTTTCACATTCGACCGCAGATTTGTACTGATACCGTAAAGCAAGAACAGAGGTTTGATGAAGATTGGTAGCCGCTGTGCTGCTTGCATAAGAGCCATAAATTTGGCAAGCTTAGGGACAAGTTCGATCCACGAATGCACGTTGCGCGTCTCCAGGCAATTAAAAGACTGTCCATATGCTGATTATCGTTAAGCTTAGTCATTGCTCGAGCAAAAAGTGTTGTTTGTGGCCTACTCAAATATGCAATTACATCGAACACAAAAAACTCCAAATCGTTGTTAGTTGATACAGGAACCATTCAGATGACATCCGCTTAACTTACATTGACCCAGTCTTTGAGGTCCAAAGCAACCTGCCCATCTTGACACTGGTGTTTGAGGGTGTTCATCAAGACATCGAGATACTTTTGGATTACAGCCTCCTGCTTTTGTAAAGAAGAATTAGAGAAGCCATGTGCTAGCAGTTTTCGGAGATGGGCATGCTGTTCTTGATTTGAATGAAGTAGTGTCGGCTCGCCCATTCCTGAATAATATTTCTTGTCTTTAACGAGCTCTTCCTGACCACGTCTTTTCTGCCCATAAATTTCTGTCCAGGCTGCAGGGCTAACAAAGGTAAGTTCATTGGGCGCTACGCGCACTACTCGTCCATATTTTTTGTGCATTTCCAGCATGTCCTGCGGTGAGGTGCCTCGCAGTAGGGAAACAACGTACGGCCAGTCCGACGCAGCTCTCAATTTGGGACCTGGAAATTTTCGAAGCGGGTGAAAGTAGATGTTGTATATAGCGAGAATTCCATAATACAAGACAAACTTCGAAGCATCTGTTATCTACGGTGCGATCAGAAGCGCAGTTTTCGAGACCTACAATAAGTGTTGCGTAGATTATAGTACTTTTCAGCGCTGAAGTCAAACGCATGACGTTTAAGAAGTTGTTGGAACCTCCTAAATTTGTAGCAGCAAGATTTTGTACAGAAATTTTTCTTTCTAGTTGAATCAGGTCGTCGATATGTGTACTTTGTTCCATACTTGAAACCTGACAGTATGTAGAGGTGAGGTCAAGCGGTAGGGTAAAGGCTTGAATAACTTTTATTCTAACGTTAAAGTCTATCAGTTTCAATAACAAAGAGATGGAATGAAGTTTTAAGCAAGAAAAGTTTGGTCATGGAGCGAGTAGAATAATCTTGACGATACTTGAGTACAAGATAAATTGGTTTACAAAGTCACATACCTTAGCTTCTGTGCTAAAAGTTAGCGTGCAAGCGAGGTTCCTTGAAATTGGGTTACAGCCTAGCCACTTTGGAGTAACTACTAGGTATTCTGGTCAATAGGTTAGGTATACCCAAGCTTTGGTAGGGGTTAGAGTCAGGGTTATATGCAAGTGTGGTGCATGAACATACTACTGGTGGAAATCTTTACATTAATTATATTGATATCTTCTGGATCCGCGTTTGTATGGAGTATAGCAGAGGAGGCTTAGAGAAAGTATAGCAATAGCTTCGGAGTCCGTAACCTTATCGCGGATAGCAAAGGAAGCTAGGAAGTAAACTAGCAGTTTCGGAATCCGTAATCTTAGTGCCGAACTAAGTACACACTCGTCAACAGCTGACGTCGCTCTTCTCTACCAGGGTTGCGTGTTTTGAAGGAATTTCTTACTATCCTGGCCAAGAATCGTTGTCGCGCTTGTCCTTCTGCGTTAGCTCGAGACTGAATTATTCAGAAACTCCCACACCGCTTCACTCACAACAGGGTTCGGATGTCAGGGCCCGCCTCCATTCTTATAAAGGATATAAATCCTATCAACGTGCAGAGTTAGCAACGAGCGGTCTTTGATTATTAGACTCGAATGCTTATCATATCCCCATAGACTTGGATCAAGTTTTGTGTTGCTATCCGCCACTTCGTACGAGGAACAAACTTGAGCACTCCAGCATACTTTCTTTCTACATCTGATGGCCAAGGCGACTCCTGAAAGTTTTTCTGTGGCAGAACCATCAACTAATGGTTCCCACTCAAAACAGGCACGAGTGACGCCTGCATTAGCTCGGGGTCTAGTTGAACGGGAATTCGCATCTTTCGACACTAAGTATGGTTTTTCAACCGCAAGTTGCCAGGTGTATGACACCGCTTGGGTTTCAATGGTATGTGAAAACATCTGCATTCTCATCCCAATAATTCAAAGGCTTCTTCTGACAGCATCTTGCAGGTCAAGAAGACAACAGACACAGATGAGAGATGGTTGTACCCTGAGTGCTTCCATTATCTCCTCCGAACACAGAGTAGCGATGGTAGCTGGGGCACCGATGCTGTGTCTCAAACAGTTGGCGTTCTAGATACCGCAGCTGCTTTACTAGCAATTCTTAAACACGCTGCAAAGCCACTGCAAATTAATGATTACTCCACTAGCGACCTCGAGAGTCGGATATCTCTTGCTACTCAGGCCCTCGACAGACAATTGAACGCCTGGAACGATTTGGTATCCACGAATCACATTGGAGTAGAACTGATCGTACCTGCATTGCTCGATTATCTCCGCGGGGAAGACTGTCGATTACAGTTTAAGTTTCAGGGCCAAGACGCACTTACAAGAATGTATGAAGAGAAGTCCTCCCGTTTCCGGCCGGAAATGCTCTACAGCACACGTCCATCGTCAGCTGTCCATTCGCTCGAAGCTTTTGTCGGCCGAATTGACTTCGATAAAGTCTCGCATCACCTATATAAAGGCTCTATGATGGCCTCGCCATCATCGACTGCCGCTTATCTGATACACTCTACAACTTGGGACGATGAAGCTGAGGCCTACCTCCGACATGTTATAAAATCAGGCATGGGTCATGGCGACGGCGGAGTTTCGGGTACTTTTCCCATTCACTACTTCGAATTTAACTGGACTATAGCAACGTTATTGCACGCTGGGTACAAAGTCTCTGATCTTGGACCCGTTGTGAATGATATTGCAAGTGTCATTCGCAATGGCTTTGCTGAAGATGGTGGAATTATTGGTTTTGGTGAGACTCAACACTCCTTTTGCAACAGATGAAAGAACTAGCTCTTACAGCACCCGTAAGTCACCAATTTTCGCGAGCTTGGTCAATGAGAAGAATATGGTACTAAATTAATACAGCGTGCTGTTGACGTCGACGATACGGCCAAAGGTCTCCTTGCTCTGAGTCATCTGGGCCAACTTGAAGGGCTTACACCGGCTGCTATGGTAAAAGTTTTCGAGAAAGAGGATGCTTTTTGCACATTCGCTGGTGAGCGCGACCGAAGCTGGAGTTCGAATTGCCACGTTCTGCTAGCCCTCTTGCAAGATGATTTCAGACAAAGCTATGCATCGCAAATCCGCAAGACGGTGGACTTCATTGTAGAGTTTTGGTGGAAGTCTGATGGATCGCCTAGGGACAAATGGGTGAGTCTAAAATTCTTACCACGGTCGCATACTTACAAAAATACAGCATTTAAGCCATTTCTATCCGGCAATGTTGATGGTGCAAGCATTCGTAGCTTTCCTACGCAGTCTTGAAGTTGACTACACCTTCGTTCCTGCGGACCAAGAGCTTGTATTGAAAATTTCAATATGTCTGTTCCAGGCATGCACACGTACATTACATGAACAAGGGCCTGATGGTTCATGGGGAAATTGTGCCGATGATACCGCCTTTGCTATCTTGACTCTAGCAGAAGCACGTCAACTGTGGATTTTCAAAGGTACACTTCTATACATGAAGCAAATATTCATATTATCAAGACTTCGAAGAGTATTTCTAACAAGTTTACAGACTTCCAATCTCAGCTGCAGAGCTCTATTGACCATGGAATTGCTTACTTGGATATTTGTGGTGTACGCACACTATCGAGTTCCTGGACTTCGAAAACTAAATACTCTGTCAAATTTGTCTCCGAAGCTTACATTCTAGCCGCATACCGGGTCTCCCAGCCAATCGAAAATATTGCGGGTGTGGGTCGATCTTTGCTTGTCAACTCCGATGTTCCACAGATTGGTCAATATGCGTCGCTTCTAAAGCAGACAAAACTCTTCTCCTCCTTGCCGGAATGGCATATTCTAGCTTCGCTGGTAGAGTCCTCGCTCTTTTTACCACTTTTGAGAGCTCGACAGCTGGATGTCTTCGTACGGGACGATTACAACCATTTGAGCAAAGGCAGTTATCTGAACCTTATTCCATTTACATGGATCGGCTGCAACAACCTACTGAAAGTCTATGTTCCCACGAATTTCCTCTTTGATATGATGGTCATGTCACTAATTGGCTTTCAAACGGACGAATTTTTCGAAGCTTTTGCTACACCAGCTTTCTCGGAGGACCCAGATTCGTTAAATTCCATTATCAACTACGTCGTAAGCAATACCTTGAGCAAGGAATCAGAGACTTCGAAAGTTGTCTTACCTCCTAGCATTGCTGATATACCGTTGGAGCATCACGAGGTTTGTGCCATTAATCCATGAATTATCCGCGTCATTCTAGCGTAACACACAGTTGACTGTTTCTAGATCTGTGAAGCTCTCTTCCGTCTTTCTACACACGTGCTACACCATGACCGTGTTTACAAAGCAAGTGCCGTAGATCGCAAGAATTTAGAGTTCGAGTTGAGGAATTTTTTACTTGGCCACGCAACACAAATCAAGGATAACACGGCATTTGCGTCCCAAGTAGAAGATGTGGTATGTAAACATGTAGAACTACTTGGTATTGGACCATAAAAATCGTATTTCATCTGACAAGATTTATAGGGTCACCTCTACAAAACTGAAGAACGATTCTTTCACTGGGTGCGAACAACATCCGCTGATCACGTCGCTTGTGCCTACTCTTTCGCCTGGGCTTGCTGTTGGGTTTCACAAACCATGGGTGATGGAATCGAGATGTTCGCAACGCCAACAGAGAAATACCTCTCGGCAGCTATGGTACGACACATGAGCACTATGTGTCGTATGCACAACGACATTGGCTCAATCCCAAGGGACTCATCTGAACTTAACGTTAACTGCGTCCATTTCCCCGAGTTTCACAGCATGGCCACCAACAATCCAGCAGCGAAGAAGCAGGCGCTTACCACGATGGCAGAGTACGAGAAAACCTGCTATGAGCATAGCTTTCGCTTGCTTGAGAAGGAAGTGCTTCGCGCATACCCTGATGACCAAAACGAAGCTTTCAGCCGCAGCAAACTACGCATTGTGCAGCTTTTTGGAAATGTCACATGTTTGTATGACCAGTTGTATGTACTCAAGGACATGTCAAGCAAAATAGGATCGCGTCAAGCCACTTAAAATGAAAATTGGGGTTACTGTAGGACAAGTTTTAGAATGGAAGTGTTAAGGTGATTATTACTGTTACAATCATTGTGCATAAACTATTTGCTCTCTGTCTACTGTGATCCCGCTGTGGAATGAGAATGAACGCTGATATAGAGATTAAGATCTAGGCAGTGCTGAAGTGCAAACATCGGACAAATGGCTAATAGCAAAACGCAGAAAAGATAGGTTATTTGAATAGTCTATGTAGTTACAGTAGTTGCAGGTATGTGGTAACGAAGAGTTTATTGCGTAGCGCATTAGAACAACCTTACTCGGTTTTTATTTTGGCTCTTGTCATATTTTCTAAATAATTTGTCTAACAACTCTACTAAATATGCTTCAAAAGTAAGCTACACAACTAAATATCCCACCAACGCGTCGGCCTTACTACAAAACGCCTAATATCTTTACAAAAACTTTCCCCAGAACTTTATAATAAATCAGATTGACGGTTCGCTATCTTCAACATCAACAGCAGCGACCACAGAATATTCAGCACGTAGCGAGATTACAGAAGATTTGGAGGCGAATAATTTCCAGCTAACGCGTCAGATGGCGCAATGAACGAGATTTTGGAGCAAACCAAGAGTGTCTAGGAAAGCCAGAAGATATGGTAGTGCTTGGTTTGCTGTGTTCTTAAGAGGCTTAATTGTGGATTTGCGCGTACAAAGGTTTAGGTTCAAGCTATAGCTACTAAATCACTATGTGAGTGGGGCAATAAGCTAATCATGGCACTAAGATTACGGATTCCGATTACGGACTCCGAAGCTATTGGTCAACTTTCTCCTGGCTTCCTTTGCTCTTCGCGATCAGGTACGTAGTTGCCAATTATTGCGTACAGGGTACAAAGCAGTTAGACTGCGGAGTAGAACCGCCGATTCTAACTCTTGATCCAGTGTGTGTTTAGCTGACAATTCATCAACAGAATCACACTGCAGGGTGCCCCTGCAAGTTCTTTCGGTCCTGAAATCATAGCTAGAATACAATGGGGCCGAATTGTTGTCCAGAGACCAGAGCCTTGAAAATGTCCGCAAAAAGAACATATGTGCTGCTACTTATACTACAGCCAGGAAACACCAGTTGTTGCAAGTATTGCATAACTTGTTCGCACGCGTAAAATGCCCGTACCTCAGAACATCAGCA